TTTGGCTGATACACACAAGCCAGTGCAAAAGCCCAGCAGCTAAACACTGAGATGGAGACTAGACTCCCTTCCTGGTTCAGAAATGCAATACTGTGCGTGCCATTTACCCAACCAAAACCACCGTGGCAGGGGAGAGTTTAAACTTATCAGTATTTCCTAGACACATTTAAGTTCAACAGGGATAGGTGCCCCTGTTGCCCCAAATAGCTAAGTGGTTGCACATTAATTTTTAAAACTTCTGGATATCACAACTATTCTTGAACTATCCACCTTTGTATGGTCCCTCTTATTTTTTCCTGAAGCAAATGCACCACCATATTCACAATCTCACATCTTATTTCTGAATAACCCCATGTGTGGGCAAATCCACACAGAGAATACCATATATAAATTCATCACAGCAAGCTGTTCCTTGCATACTACCTGAAGAGCCCAACTTTGCTTTGCCAAAACCAAGTTTGGAGATTGTACCTGAAAGCCGCAGAGATTCAGGAGATCCTAAACTTGACACACACCAGCCCAACAAATAGCATGCTCCCCACCAGAAGATGAAACCTATTTCAAGGCAGGCAGCCTGGGTTTCTCTGTGCCCTGTAATTCCCCCAGTCCAGGCACACAGGTTCTACCATCTAGGGAGAGATATTTCATCCCTACTGCCAAAATTAACCCAGGCCCCAGATGAGTATTCAGTGCTGTGCCCAAACTGACCAGCATGCACATTTGCATTTATCTATTATATGCCCTATATAGAATAATTGTTAGTACTCCATAATAGCTGCTGCCATTTCCCCAGTCATCTGACCCAGGATATAGGGAAGCAGCTGACCTGTCCCACTGCTGAAAGTCAATGAAAGCTGACTCTCCCCCACCCCCCATCCCCTCCAAATTAGAATGCAATCTAAACTGCCAGTTGCAGAAGGTATTTATACTCAACTCCAGGATGCCCTTCCCGGATGAACATAACTGCATCTGTGGACCACAAAACCCTGGAACAGATGGGGAAGGAGTGGAATGTGTTATGTGGCTGTTGTAACTCCCATCCATAAGAAGTGGCAGCTTGAGAAACTTGAAAACTTTGATCACCCTTGGTAGACAGAGGCTCTGCAACTGCATTTAAGTCCTCCCCCCACAACTTGCAAAAACATGGTGCTTAAAGGAGACACAAATTTACTTCCACTCAATTATTTTGTATCATTTGAAGCTTTTTGTATAATTCAGTTAATAGAAAAATCATTATAAAAATGAAATCTAAATGTTTAGGGAAACTGGTGTGTCTTTATTTAGACTTCTGTATACTTAGAACTTGGGCATACTGTATAATCTTGGAAAATGCATGTATTTGTCTTATACAATCTATATTAAGAACATAGTGGACCCATTTCTCTAAATCAAATTTCAAATATTTATTGTTCTGCATTTGCATCTAAGCCTTACAGCCATAAGAAACATGCTTGCTTCAAGAAATTTACTAATAACTTTTGTCATAACACACCCTGAAATTTAGGTGCATTACTTAATGCCAGGATGTGAGAATTATAGCTAAGGTCCTGAGAAAGTAATGGGTTTTTTTCCATGTGAACTCCACAAGACTTCTAGGGACAAATGGTAGGTTTATGTCACTGGTACACAACGGGAATATTTCTTTTGGGCCTTTGTGCAAACACAAAGTATAAGCCCATGAGAACCGGCAGGAGTGTAGCAACTCTACACACATAATGATACTGTTGGGAGGAAAATTCAGGAGATTTTCTAGGCTGCAGCACTTCTGGCACCAGTTATGTGATGCTCACCCTTTACTAGGTGATTAAATACCTGAACTCCCCAAGAAGCTGGTCTGCCAAGTCCTTCAACATACCATAACACCTGCTTTTGTATGATAGCATAAGAAAAATGGTCACAAATTGTAAAACAGGACTAAAAATTTTCTAGCATAATTAGGAAATCTTCAGGGTCCAAACTTTTATTCTACTAGCCATGTTTGTAGGAAGTAGTCAATGAAAAAATGCTACACTGAGCAACCAGTCATAGCATTTATCATAGAGTAAGATCTGATATACTGCTTCACTAGACCTGGGACCTGCTGGGATACCGAGTTAGTGGCTTCATCATAGGCAAATCTCATTTATCTTTCTGAAAAGTGTGGAAATTTCAGAGTCTTCCTAGCAAAACTGGAGAAGTAGCGATGATAGAGGATGCAGCAAGATCAACTGCAATGCCACCCAATTCTCCGGAGAGGGGGGAACAACAAACCCACCCCCTGCCCTCCCTTCCATGTTTAGCTGCACAAACCAGGCAGCAGGTTTTTATCAGTGTGTGGCAGCCGGTCAGAGGTAAGCAAGCTGACTCACTGCAGGGAACGCTGCTAACATTGCTGGAAGCGCAGGCAATACAGTATTTTGCCCTTCTCCAATTTAGGCCACAGAAAAGCCAGGGCTGTATGCAACACCAGGGCCTGAGCTGAGCCCCGGCCTCGGGAGCCGCCGGGCTGCAGAGTTAACTCCATCCCTCGCATGGGGGACAGCTGATCGCTGTTTGTACCCTTCAATACTCCCCTTTGGAAATGCTAACTAGGTTATTCAGCGACTCCTTTGATGTCCTGATAGGTGCTATTAGATAGTCAATTAGGCATCAACGAGATCGATTGTTTCGGAATAGACGCTTTTCTGTTTGAAGTACCCGTGAACACTAACAGGCCCATCACCCGGTCGCTCCTTTGCCCACGGGAACAATGCGGGCTAACACTCCATAAATAACAAATGCTACTGACTCACTCGGCAGCGCTGCACCCTCTTCCCTCCCGGCTCACACGCTGCAAACTCAGATCTTCGTATTCAGCAACTGTGGGAGCAAACACGCGCTTTGCATTAAAAACGATTTATCGGGGAAATCTCATTTCGTTCTTTTGCGCAACCAATGAACAAAGCGCCTAGATAAGTTAAGTATAGGTTACCTCGAAACAAAGTAGTACTCGAATTCCCATGCACGCCATCGCCGCGCTGCCTGAGGATTTGTGATACCTCCACAGTTTTTCAGAATTGCCCAGGCAGAATAACTATGCACTAAAACAAGAATTAAAACACTTAACCTACCTGAATACCAAAGAGCTGTGAGGATTAGTTCCCTACTAAATACCATTAGAAAAGAACACTAGGTCGAGGTCTAGGAGTTTCAGAAGCTGTTACAAAGGAAAAGTAGTAAAGTCTGCCCAATGAAAGAGTCGAGATCCAGAGACCTCTCCTCTTTCTTCCCGTCCCTGCTTCGGTGGGATTTATCAAGTTAATTGTCATCTAATTGCGTATCAAAGAAAGAGATAATGGGCAGCAATTAGATGTTAATGGCTTGCCAGTGCGAGATCTCTCCCGATTAGCACACAACGCCGAATAGCTTCACCTGGTTTGTAGAGGTCCCTGGAATGGCTCCACCGTGTCTGGGAACTGCAGGGGGGGAATACTCCGACCCTATTCCCAGTCCCCTGTTGGCTGCTCTCGCCAAATTGGGGCAGGCGTTAACGAGCGTGGGCCGCAGACGGCTCCCTGCCATTACCGCTGCGCTAATTCAATCATGTTTCTCCCCCTCCGTGCACGCACTGCAGGGGAGAAGGGCTTTGAAGTTAGTGCTCTGGCAAATTTCCCCTCCTACCCCCGTTTCCTCCCCAGGGAGCCCAGTTTCCAGGTTATACAGCCTCCTCGAGAGCCGCCAGGCGGGGAGCTCCAACAGTTTCACCGCACAGGCATTAAACTGCTCCTCCCCAGCTAATCGGCTCAGCTTTTCCATTTGTAGCTGACTTGTAGACAATGCTTTGTCTTGCCGGAGATCATTCTGGTACTGATGGTTATTGTGATGCTATTAAAGACACAAAAGGGAGCACTAGAAACGAAGCGGGCTCTCAGCCGCTCGGGGGGATGGCCCGGCTGCTGATCAGAGAAGCGGCCGATGCCAGCCCTGGGGTGTGAGGTGGGTGAGAAGCCAGAACAGGATAACTTTGCTCTCCGGCGAGGGACTGCCAGGGGACAGGGGTCCTGCGCTGACTCTAATGCACCTTAATTGCTGCAGGGGTTAAAACACGGCGGACGAGAAAATCAAACGAGCAGGAATAAAACGCGGGGAAATAAAACTTCTTCCAGATCAAAGGAAAAACTTGCAGCCACGCTTTAGCAAATAATGAAACAATTTCACATACAATTTTCTAGACCACTGGAATGTAGTAGTTACCTTCTGTAGAAAGCAGATTTTTGCACATAGAAGAATTATAATGTAGATACTCAATCTGCTACTATCAGGAACACAGCTAAGGGAGCATCACTTCTGGCGTTCATTCGAGCAATTGTCGGGCAACGGGACAATATTTGTTAGCTAGCGCTGCCAGAACACTGACAAGACATTTCGTGTACTTGTTGAGTACATATGTGGCCATGGAGTCATTATGTTAAGTGACCATTAACACCTTTTCAAGTAGTACTCGGCTTGTCCCTCTCCCGCTGCTCTGCAGTTCACACACCCAAAGACAGGACACCCCCTTACGCCTCTCACCAGCCCGCGCCGCTGGCACGTACCTGCCTGCCTCAGCAAGACTACAGGGATCCTCATACACACACCCCGTGAGCAGAACCTCCGTTCCCATGATTGTCCCCACGGCCGGTGGCTCTCGGCCCCGCATCCCTGTTTGTCCGAGGCGTGGTGCCCACAACCCCCGCAGGCTTAAATCGTGGCAAAGGTTGCAACACTGCGTATTGCTCCGGCAGCAACCAATTGCCTCTGGCTTGCCCTAAACCTTTGAAAGGAGGTGGAACAGCTACCCACACTCCTCCGAGCACGGCTGGCCTCAGCCAAGCTGTCCTCGGGAGCGCGCAGGTGCCGCGTCAGGTCAGCTCGGTTCTGCCCTCCCATCGCCCGGGCAGGCCCGGCGGCTGCGGGAACTCGATGCAGCCGCGGCGCCGGCTCCGGGTTACCAGCCTCGGGAACAGAGAGTGCGGGATCCGGGTAAGATGTTCCCGCTAGGGCTAAGCCAGCTCTGCCCCTGGAGAGAGCTCACCCCGGGACATTTGGAGATCCCGATAAGGTGTACTTCTGTCTCCTAGGAGGGTGTGCGGGGAACCTCTGTCTCCGCACAAAGCCTGTTCCCATCGAAGCAGATCCCCTCCACGAGTAGGAGCATTTGGTTCTCCCGCTCTCCTCCTGAGCCCTTTCATCTCTCTCTTCTTCACTACCAGCCGCCCAGCCCCCTCCTCTTCCCCATTTGGTCCGGGTTTGGAGGGCTCCAGCAGGGCTGTGGGCAGCCCTGGGCCCCGTCGGTTCCCATGGAGGGGTCCACAGCCCCGGTACTGCTGAGTCTGGCTTCTAATAGCACTGTTACTCTTCCTTTTGAATGGGGTGAGCAAGGCACCTGGAGTAGAGTCGTGATGTCCTTCTCTGTGGCCATACATACAAAATTATAAGGTGATCACCTACCCGTCTACCACTATGCCCTTGGAAACTGGATAGTCAAACCTAGTCTTATGCTTCAGACTTTTTTTTTTTTTAGTTTTATATTTTTTTAAATGTAAATCGTATATTTATTGACCTTGATTGCTTTGCTGTTAAAAAAATGTCACTGCTTTAGAGCAGAAAGAATACTCACCATCGTAGAGCTCTTTCTGGAAACATCCCAGTTCCCCAATGACATTTGAAAGAGTCAGAGAGAATTGCAAATATTTTTTTTCTTCGATCAATATAATCATTTAATAACACCTGACTTTGAGAAATAAGCCCACATTCAATGGGAATTTTCGTCGACAAATTTCCTTAATCCCAAACTGCATCATACTCCAGAAGAGATGTCATAAAGATTGGTAGCACCTGAGCCCTTATGATTTTCTGAAAATATTGCATTAGAACGACATTAATTGTGCAATTGCAATAAAATACTAAGATCTCAAAACGCTACAGAAATGCAGCAAGGATTACCAAATAATGAAGCAGAGTTCCAAATACAACAGCCACTCAGAAAATAAAAGGCTATAGCCCCCGGCAGCACATAATGTTGCTTTTTACCAAGCCAGCCTATTCAAGTGGCAGATTGGCCCATGTATAGAAAAGAAAATAGGTGTGTTCAGGGATGAGTGACAACAAAACCTTCAGACCATCAATTATATGAGCCAAGATTACAAGTGTGCCGGATGTTCTCAAATAACCCCAGAGACCAGCTCTAAAGCAATGGAAATTTTTATTGCTCTTTTCATGTTAGTTGACAATTGACTTTGAAAGATTTATGGCAATTTACATCAGTCCAGGATCATTTCTCAGAGCCCTTTATCTAGCCTGAAATTAGGCCATTTTGATCTTAAGTTTTCAAGAGCATTATTCAGATTTTTAAAAGTGCATTGCAAAAGTTACAAACTTTACTGCCATTTAGGGAAGACCAGCTCCACAATGTTTCATTTCTTTCGATAATCACTCCTCGTGGGAGGAATTCACAGGAAAGCTGGAAAATGTTTAGGTTTATTAAAAGATTGTCCCATTGTGCTTCTATTTTACACAGTTCCCTATAAATGCAGGGGCCTTAAATGCAGGATCCAGATTGTCCAGTGTGTCTCTGTAAGATATTTTGCCCAGAGCTGCATCATAACTCCACCATGCAGTTACAGACAAGCACAGCCCAGACAGTCGTCAGTAGTGCAAATCCTTAGTCATAGTCCATATCAGAAGGTCAGACACCCAGCAAGAAAGCTCTGGGATCCCTGTACCCTACAAAGTAGGGTGCTGCCCAAAAGCCCACAGGATGTGCTCTGCAAGCGCTGCTGATGTCTAGGGTGGGTGCTGGCAGTGCGGCCAAGGTGAAGCCCCCAGAGGCAGCGCCTTGCTGGGGCAGAGGTGGTGGCCGGGCCACGTATGTGAGCGACAAGGGCACAACGCCGCTCTGAGGTCCGTAAGGGAGAGGGGGGCTGCAGAAAGGCTCCGACCTCAGCTCCTGCAGCTGCCGCTTGAGCTTCATCCGGCGGTTCTGAAACCAGGTCTTGATCTGGCAGAAAGAGGAGGAGAGGAATGAGGAGAGCTGGGGACACAGCGGTACCCAGCCCATGCCCTGGTCCATGCCCATGCCCATGCCCATGCCGTGGGTCCAGCCGCGGCCCGTGCCCTCCGCCACGCTCACCTGCACCTCGGAGAGCCGCATCCTGCCCGCCAGCTTGCGGCGCTCGGCGGCCCCCAGGTACTGCTGCCGCTGGAC